ATACACACACACAGTATATACAGGAGTTAGACAATGGAAGTGAAGCACCTGTCATTTTAGAGTGGGAGGTTTCATGGCTAAATTGGACCAACCTGGTGGCCAGTCTTCATTAACTGCACATTGCACCAGTAAGAGCAGAGTGTGAAGGGTCAGTTAGCAGGGTAAGAGCACAGTTTTGTTGAAAACATTGCAATGCACACAACATTATGGGTGACATACCAGAGTTCAAAAGAGGACAAATTGTTGGTTCACGTCTTGCTGGAGCATCTGTGACCAAGACAGCAAGTCTTTATGATGTCTCAAGAGCCACGGTATTCAGGGTAATGTCAGCATACCACCAAGAAGGACGAACCACATCCAACAGGATTAACTGTGGATGCAAGAGGAAGCTGTCTGAAAGGGATGTTCATGTGCTAACCTGGATTGTATCCAAAAAAAAATCATAAAACCATGGCTGCCCAAATCATGGCAGGATTAAATGTGCTCCTCAACTCTCCTGTTTCCACCAGAACTGTCCGTCAGGAGCTCCACAGGGTCAATATACACAGCCGGGCTGCTATAGCCAAACCTCTGGTCACTCGTGCCAAACATCGGTTTCAATGGTGCAAGGAGCACAAAACTTGGGCTGTGGACAATGTGAAACATGTATCATTCTCTGATGAGTCCCCCTTTACTGTTTTCCCCACATCCGGGAGAGTTACGGTGTGGAGAATCCCCAAAGAAGCATACCACCGTGACTGTTGCATGCCCAGAGTGAAGCATGGGGGTGGATCAGTGATGGTTTGGGCTGCCATATCATGGCAGTCCCTTGGCCCAAAACTTGTGCTAGATGGACGCATCACTGCCAAGTACTACCAAACCATTCTGGAGGACCATGTGCATCCACTGGTTCAAACATTGTATCCTGAAGGCGGTGCCATGTATCAGGATGACAATGCACCAATACACACAGCAAGACTGGTGAAGGATTGTTTTAATGAACATGAAAGTGAAGTAGAACATCTCCCATGGCCTGCACAGTCACCAGATCTAAATATTATTGAGCCAGTTTGGGCTGTTTTGGAGGAGCGAGTGAGGAAACCTTTTCCTCCATCAGCATCACGTGGTGACCTGGCCACTATCCTGCATGAAGAATGGCTTAAACTAACAGTCTTCTGAAGGTTTTCAGGAACTAAAACTGAGCAAAAACAAACAAATAAAAATAAAACAGACAATCAGTAAACCTGTGCTAACATTAGAGAATTGAGCATGTGAAGGTCACTGGTTCAACTCAGACAACAAAAAAAAAAAAAAAAAAAAAACGTGCCCCACTCTGGGCCCTTGAGCAAGGACCTTAAACCTCCATCTGTTCCCCGGGCACCTTCAAAGGCAGCCCCCCTGCTCCACACGTGTGCTCACACATTCAGTGGTAAAAACTCAGAGAAACAATTTCTCCACAGAGGGACAATAAAGAAGATAAAAATAATAATAAGGTGAAATGATATCAAGTCTGCTTTAAGAAAAACTTTGGAGAAAATTAATAATATAATACAACAAAGCATAAAAAAGACACAGTGACTAGAGTTAGGCAGCTCTGTATATAATCTTGGTGACAGAAGCGCTGTCCAGGTTTAAGTGAAAAAAAAAGCATCCTGTCCTGAAAATATTCTTTAGATTTCTTTGTTAAACCTGAGTTAAAATAATACAGTTTAGTTAGTAAGTGATTTACCAGCTGAATGAGTGTTTGAGTGGAATCATGACAAACATTTTTCCAGCCACACCCATTATTGCAGGAACCACAACAAAGATGCATTTGAGTTCTTTTTCTTGCCGCCACCCTGTAAATATGCCTTAAGTCAGAGGTTTCACACAATACTATTAGAAACCGTTAGTGAGATCAAAATGAAGCCTTCCATGTCCTTTGGTTTGAATTTGTGGGAGTAAACAAATGTTTCCAAGTTACATTTTTTGTAAGTAAAAAACAACAGAAA